GCTCGGCTTCCGACCTGTCCCGCGGAAAGGCCGACTGGGCGACCCGTGACTCAGAGTTCGGTTCTGGCGGAGACGCCCTGGGCAGGTGTGTCTGGGACGAAGGAGAAAAGAACCCACACCGCAGGGCGTCCCCTTCCTTGTGCCTCTGACGCCGCGCGGACCCCCCCCCCCACACCTGCTGGAGCTCGCCAGCGAGCAGACCCCAGATCCAGGAGAAGGACCGGATGCCGCCTGCTCTGTCCGCGAACTGCTTCTCTGGGCGCCGGGTCCACGTGGATCCCAGCTCCGGCCTCAGGACCGCTGCCGTCAGGCTCAGGCTGTCCGGTCAGTCCGCGCCTCTGAGAAAGCTGTGTCACTGCTGGTCACTGGCGGCCCGACCACCATTCCCAGTCGGATGTGGACGGACAGCGTTTGCCAGGACGTCTGAGTGTCTCCCGAGCCCAGAACCACCGTGTGGGGCCGCTGCTCCTTACGGAGCCCATCCTGCTGCCAGAGGAACAGCCTCCGGGTGACGCCCGTGGCTGACTTCCAGCTGCGCATCTGCCCCCGAGCCCACACCTCCCTGTGGCCTCCGGGGCCCCAGCACCGCCTCTCGCTGGCCCGCCATGACGCTCACTCATTTTTCTAACATCAGGAATCCGCAGTGGGGTGTAATTTTCTATTTTCTACTCCCAGTCTCCCAGGCGTGGACGAGGCAGCTCAGCTCCGTGTGTGTGACAGCTTTGCAGGGCAGGTCGGGGCTGCGCGCGGCTGCGGCACTGGGCCCGGGTTTGGGTCCAGCGGAGCCGAGGCCGCTTCGCGTGTGTTATTGGACCTTCCAGTGGTCAGTGAGAGTGGTGCCCAGCACTCAGCTCTGGTTTCCTTCCACCGCAGTTCTGGGGCAGACCAGGTGGGCCACGTTCTTCTTTGTGCTGACCCATGCTCCCGGCAACTCAGAACCACGGTGACCGCCACAGAGCTGAGCCCGGTGCTCACAGAGGCTCCCGCGTGAAATGTTCGCAGTGGGAGAGCAGCAAGGAGTAGTGACCGTCTCGTGCGGTTCATGTCGGGGTGAAGGGAGGCGCTCTGGCTGCGCCCGGGACCCCTGGGACAACGGGCCGTCCGCTGCCCGGACGGCCGTGGAGCTGGGGCCCGATGCAGGGTCTGCGGAGCATGTGACATCGTGGCCCCCTGTCCGCGCAGACACTCAGTGCCCTGGACATTGGGAGGACGACACGTGTGCAGTGGCCCCTGCATCCACCACCAGCTCTTGTGTGTCGCCCGGTGACCCGCCCGTGTGGTGCCCAGGTGCCCGCGCATGTTCCCGTTATCTCGCTGGGTTTGCACCTTTCTCATCACGTGCCATCCGGAGTTAGTGACCCTTTCTGACCATGTCAGCCGTCAGCAGGAACAACTTCCGGCGGTGGATTATCCTGTGTGATGAGGGGACGACGATGGGTGGCGGCTGAGCCAGTACGTGGCTTCCCTGCGCCTCAGTAGCGGGACGCAGTCACTGAAGTGGCCTTCAGTCCCGATCCGAGCTGGCTGCGGGCGCCCGAGATCGGGAGGCGGACGGGTCCGGAAGCGGCGCCTTCACGCAGACGAGCCCCACGTTCCCGTGGCATCCGAGCATGGTTCCTCGTTCAGAAGCAGACGACGCTGTATTTGATTTCATGACCCGTGGAAGATCAGTGCTTTCTAACGTGGGACGTTCAGGGATACGGAAGGGTCAGAGAGGGCTGCGATGAGTCTCTCAAGCCCTTGCCGGCAGTGCCCGCCGCTCCCCTGGGTGCCTCCGCGGTCTCCCGCCAGCCCTGGGTTTTCATCCGTGCTCGCTGCGCGAGATCAAAGGCCAGGATTTGAGCACAAGCTCTTCCGTTAACATGACTTTGGTACCGAGTAACGTGTCCCAGGTACTTGGGGACGTTTCTGACTCACGGGTCCTGAGTAACGGGCGTGGGTGCTGGGCAGTAAAGGTCGGTTTTACGGGGCGAGGCCTTAAAGACGGCTCCACCTTGGGGTCAGGACATCTGTGAAGGGCCACGGATCGGTCCGGGCTGGTCACAGAAACAGAGAAACGAGGGATAAATGCCGTGGCTGCCTCACAACTCACGTTTCTTTCGATATCGCCTTTTACAAGTTGGTGGAAAGTCACTGACTTTTTCAATATGGCCTATTTAAGAGGAAAAATATTTCTTTTTCTTAAAAATCCAGAAAGATGGCTGTGTTGTGCTGTCCACGGGGCTGGGTTTTACGGTCCCCGTGGTGTGTAGCACCGGGTTGAGCCAGGGCTGAGGTTGCAGCCGCATTCCCGCAGACCCTCGCCCGTGTACGGCCTCGGCACGTGGAAACTACGGCCCGTCCCTGAGTAATGCACCTGATTTTGAAGCACCGGGACCCGGTCGCATATGGGGTCTGACTCCAGAACGGCCGCGCGTTTCGCAGCAGAATGAGGAGCAAATGTTTTCTGAGTCCGTAGAGCGGCTGGTTGTCCCGAGGTAGGGGAGCGATGGAAGAATCCAAAACTTGGCCTTTTTGTTTTGGTTTTTCGGGGAGTTTGGGGGGTAGGGAAAGACATTGCCTGTATTTTGAGAAAATTGGCCGTTAGGGTTGGGTTTTTGCTTTTTTCTGGTGGAGAAACCGAGGCTGAGATCTAGGCACGTACTCCGCACCTGCTGCTGGCGTCTGGGCTGCATCTCCGCCCAGGACACCTGCTGTTTGGCTCTCAGTCCGCTCGCGCTCCAGTGAAGAAAGCCTCGTTGCGCACGGCAAAGTGCAGCGCCGTTCCTGGTGAAGAGTTTCGGCAAACTAGGGAAGCAGGAGAGTTTCAGCGCGGTGGAGAGTGTCTGTGACGCCGCAGCTCCTACCACCCCAGATGGCGGAAACGGAGTCGGCGCTTTCACCCGAGGACCGAGAGCGACACGGGCTCCCCTCTGTCCTGTTTGGCAGCTTTCTTGGGTGTTGTGGCTAATACGGCGAGGACGGGAAGGGATGCGGGGTAGGCAGACTGGGCAGGAAGAAACGAGGCAGGAGGCATGAAGGTCTGTGGGAAAATCCCAAAGAAAACTCCAGCAGAACCTGGTGGTCTAGTGAGTGATCAGAGCCTGGCCAGCAGCAAACAGTCGAATTCGCAACTAAAATTTCTAGTTTTCAAAAGATGCTGTTAAGAATTAGAGAAGCCATTGACTGAGGAAATGTTGGCCAGACACATGCCCTATGTCTGGCAGGACGCAGCGGGGAAGGGTGCTGGGGGTGGGGGTCGGATGCCGTGGGGTCTGGCGGGACACAGAGGGGAAGGGTGCTGGGGGTCGGATGCTGTGGGGTCGGGCGGGATGCAGAGGGGAAGGGTGCTGGGGGTCGGATGCCGTGGGGTCCGGCGGGACACAGAGGGGAAGGGTGCTGGGGGGTCGGATGCTGTGGGGTCGGGCGGGACGCCAACACAGTGTTGACTGGGAGGTACTGACCTCCAGAACATTGTTGTTCTCAGCGCAGAAGGTAAGGAGACCCTCCTCCTGAGGCCAAGATGAGAAGTCTGGAGAGTAGGTGTCGCCAGGACTCCCCTCCCTGTCTGCCCTCCACTCCCTGCACATGCAAGAGGGGTGCGTGGGCCATCTCCATGCTGGGGCATGACCACCTTGCGGTGCTGACTTGGGGTGTCACTTTCTGGGGCCGGCCTGACTCTGTCACAAGACAGGGGAAGGAGGCAGGCAGGGAGGAACGCCGGGCATGTGTGTGTTAACAGTCGGAGGTTTACATTTTATGAAACGTATCTGGGGGTGGACTGTTGTCGGCCGCTTGGCAGGACGTGGAATTCCCTGGGGTTCGGTGCCTCTTGCTCCCCCGCGTACGGTCCTGCGTCAGCAGCTCGTCCTCTGGCCGCAGATGGAGGACATGCCAGGTGCTGACTTGAGCGTTCTGTAGCGAAAGCAAACATGCAGCGGCGCTCTGAACCGGCGCGGTGACCCCGCAGCGAGCGCTGTGGAGAGGGGAAATGTCATCACAGTGACGAGTCTTTGTCTCCCTTTGGCACAGTACACGTTTTGGAACTTTATACCCAAGAACTTGTTTGAACAATTCAGAAGAATAGCCAACTTTTACTTTCTCATCATATTTCTGGTACAGGTAAGGCCAGCTCTCTTTTTTTATCGCTCACTCAAGGGGAGGGCTCAGCTGAGAGCAGATTAACTGGGGTTCGCTGTCGAGCGAGAGCGCTGGAGCCCCTCGTGTTTCCTCCGCGGACAGCCGTGTGGGCTCAGAGGGGCGTCCAACTGAGACAGACACGTGCCCAGTCTGCCCTGCGGTTAGTTCCGGCTGCCGCCCAGTCCTCAAGGGGAAATCGGGAGCCCCCTCCTCTTTAGGGGAAACTCGGCAGCCCGGCTCAGCGTTGCTGGGAGACCCGCCCCCGACGTGCGCGTGAGACGAGCCAGAAGAACCACAGTGAGGTCTGAGCAAGGGTGCGGGGCTCTGACGTGTTCTAGGACTGGCCGCCTCACCGTTCTCGGTCACGCCGAACAGAGCAGGAGGACTTTTACGATGTCCCCAGCATTAACTTATTCAAGTACTTGAGGTTTGGGCCAAAAGCAGTAAATTAAACTAAAACGCACCACGCGGTCAGGCTTGCGTCTCTGCCTCCGTTCGCCTGGTTCCATAAGCAGGTCCCCATCTGTAGTGTCCACCCTCCGTTCCATGGGGGATCGGTGACTTACCCCATCTGACTTAGGTCTAGTGGGAGTTTACAGTAAGCCAACGCGGGTGTTGTAGTTGGCGTCTCCGGCCCGTCCCCAGTCCCCAAGACGCACTGGGAGCAGGCCTGCCAGTCCATCCCGGTCCCCGGTGGCACTGGGGGTCGGCCCGCCGGCCCGTCCCCATCCCTGCCCCGTCCCCGCTGGCACTGGGGGTCAGTTGGCCAGTCCGTCCCTGTCCCTGTCCCCGTCCCCGCTGGCACTGGGGGTCGGCTGGCCGGTCCGTCCGCATCCCTGTCCCCACTGGTGTCTGTAACTCTGCTCTCCTTGCAGCTGATCATCGACACGCCCACAAGCCCCGTGACCAGCGGCCTTCCCCTCTTCTTTGTCATCACCGTCACGGCCATCAAGCAGGTAAGACGCCTGCAGGGGAAAGCAGGACGGCACCTTCCTGTGACGTGACGTCACCTTGCGTGTAGAGCCGAGCATCCGCGTCATGTCAGCGAGTCACGGGAAAGTTAGCTCCGGACGTTCATGTGGGTAATGGTCCCTGACCGACAGCTGAGCTGAAATGAGGCCGTTGGGTGACACAGCAGCTGGGGCGGTGTCTGGGAGTCTGGGGAGGAAACCAAGGCTTTCAGTTCAGAGCCGACCAGAGAGGGAATCTGTTTTTAGGAGCGTTTCTTAGCCTGTCCTCACTCTGGGCTGCCTGTAGGCAGGACCGGTAGGACCCGCTGTGCACGGCGTCTGGGCTACAGCCCCCAAGCGAGCCTGTGGACTGCTGACCCGCTGCACGCCTCAGGCTCGTCTGCCTGGGCCCGGTCACAGACGGTGAGGAGAACGCATCTCAGCCATGCCCGCTGGCTCTCTGGCCGTCATTGCTGTACCTGTCCCCCGTTTCTGGCTCCACAAAACTCCCCTCCCCTCGGAAAGAGGCCTCGTACCCACGAGCGGCCCCTAGCAGGCGCCGGGCTGCGTCTGTCAGGCTGGCGTCTCCTGCCGTGGGTGCTTGGGGTTCGCATTTCCTGGGTGACGGACGATGCTGGATCTTTCCCGGGCTTACTGGCCGTCGGGTGTTTCTTCAGAGACGTGTCACCAGATCCTTTGTCCGTCTTAAAATTGGGTTTTTTGTCTTTTTATTGGTAAGTTACAAGAACTCGTCACACGTTCCGGAAACCAGTGCCTTACGTGCAACCGACTTGAGCATCACGATGTTCGTGTTTCCGGGTTGATAGGTCGACCTTTGATTTGGGACCTTGGATCATTGGTAAAACGACAGCTTCTACTGAAATTGTTGATGGTCCGGTTTTTGCTGACAAAGCCCTGCTTTTTTGGTGTTAGTCTTTGAGTAAGAATAAAGGAAACGAAACACATTTTACGCGAGAACGGCCGCTGGATGCTGGTGGTCTGTCGAAGCACAGAGCGATTTTCCCTAGATCGAGGAAGAACAGAGAGGGGCCCCGGCCGCTGTGTGGTGTGTGTGCAGGGAGCACCTCCGGCTGCCCCTGCCGGCCGCGCCCAGCTTCAGCCCCCATGGGTGTGCGCGAGCGTTAGGGATGTCTTTGTCCCAGTTTGGGCTTTCTGCCTCCCTCACCACGGATCTGGAAAGACAGGTTTGGACAAAGTGATTTGACTTCTTACCCATTAGCTTGGCTTTTAAATGTAGAAGCCCGAAGGGCAGCGGGGAGGACCCTGTGGCCGGTAGCTGCGCTGCTGCACACGGGAGCGCGGGGCCCTCGCCTTGGGAAACTGTTGGCGGTGACCGTCGGAGTGGAGGCCGCAAACGTGGTTGGTGCGTGTCGTGCACATCCCAGAACAGGCCACGGTGGCCCGGCGAGGCGTCCTGGGACTCTCCGCGCAGGCCTCTCTGGGGCAGGTCGTGTGGGGGGCAGGGGGCGGTGCAGTGACTCGAGGGCGAGCCCCGCTGTGCGGACATGGCACGCAGAGTGACGGCAGATACCCGCTATGTCGTCCTCACGCGTTTGTAGACTCTCACTTGTGACACGCACTTGTCATAAACGTGTGAAACCATGAACAGGAAGGAGTCTTTTCAGGAGGACGAGCGAGAAGGGGACGAGTGTCAGACGCAGGGGGAGGTGCCCTGAGGGCCTGTGGGGTCTGCCTGCCCCTGAGCCGCCTCACCCCACTCCTGGAGGTACCCGACTTCCAGCCCTCACCTGCTCCCTGCATCTCTCTTCCTCACCTGCCCCGACCTCAGGACAGCTCCTGCCCTGGCCGACTCGGAGCCCCTCTGTCCTCCCCACCTCAGCCCTGGTTCCCTGGTGGCCACGGCCCACACATCCAGGGGCTCTGATGCCCTTCTTTGAGGCTCTGGAAGCCCCCGCGGGGGCCTGGCACCTGCTAGTCCCACCTGCATGCTGAACAGCCTCTGACCAGCATCTGACCCTCTCTGTCCACATCTCCTGACTTCAGTGAGGCAGGCAGTGGCCCAGAGCTCTCCCGGGCTGCCCACCTGCCTTTCCTGCCTGGCTTTTTGCAGGCCCTGCACCATCTTTAACCCTCTAGGCCGTCCTGGCCCCTGTGTCCCCCATGTCTGACCCTGCCGCCCCCTCATGCTGTTTCCCGTGGTATCACCTCCTCCCTTCCAGGCAAGCGCCGAGCGTCCATTGGGGGCCGGCTCAGACCCTCCTCTCTGAGCCCCCTGCACACTCATTGGCACACGTGCACTGGGGGGCCTGCAACATGCTCACTGGGTCAGGGAACAGGTGTGACTCAGGCCTGGGCCCGCAGGAAGAGGAACGGGAGACCCCCACCCTGGTCCTCCCACCTGAGTGAGCTCCGGCCAGGCTGCTGACGGGGAGTGGCTGGAGGCAGTCACATGCCGCGGACTCGGGCTCCGACAGTAGACCCGTGTCCTGTAGGAGAACGATCAGAAGTCCCACAGCAAATGGGGGAAGTGGGGCTCCCAGGGGCCTCGGGGCTCATGTGTCCACATTACTGCAGGCCCGAGACACAGTGGCCAACCGTCTAGAGGCTAGAAGGGCGGCACGGCGGCTGGGGCCCTGAAGAAGTGGGGAGATTGGGGTCCGTTTAAGGAGGAGACACAGGACTCGTGGGTTGGTGGGTGTTGGGTGTGGGAAAGGCACCTTCTGGCTTTCCCGCAGCTTTGTGCATCCCCTGGCTGAGGCCGGAGGTGTGGTACCATGGTCGCGGCCCACCCGGCACGTCCAAGGCGGTGGGCTCAGGGCCCAGGGACCCCCACGGCCTTCGGCTCCCTGCAGCGGGCATCTCCTCTCCCCCCAGGGCTATGAGGACTGGCTTCGCCATAAGGCAGACAACGCCATGAACCAGTGCCCCGTGCATTTCATCCAGCATGGCAAGCTGGTGCGGAAGCAGAGCCGGAAGCTGAGGGTAAGCTGCGGGCGCGTCCTTGACCCAGCCCGGGAACAGCGGGCACCCAGAGGGCTTTGCTCAGACCTGTGCCCGGAGTTGCTTCTCTCCAGCACAGGCTGCCTGCGCCCCACACCCTTCCCCTGAAGCCCCGCACCTGCCTGTCTGCGGAACTTGCGTTTTTACTCGGAGCCGCACCCAGTGCGCTTGGAGCAGTCGGTGTCGCAGACCCACAGGGTGGGAATTGCTCCCACCAGTCCCGACAGAGGAGGCTCCAGGACGCTGTTAGAAACCTTGTTCTAGAACACGGCGAGTTCCGCGGGCTGGGAACGGAGATTGGGAACCGAAACCCCCTGAAGGCTGTGTGTTCCCGGTTTGGGGGAGCCGTGCCGGACCGACGGGCAGCGTCTGCGTGGGCGTTGTCTACATCACTCACGTGGATGGTTTTCACACCCGCACGAGTGGGCGGGGCACCCCGCGGGCACGGGCCAGCGTGGGGTCCCTAAAGCTTGTCCCTGAGGAGTTAGTGTGAGCCCCGGGACGGAGCCGGCTGGGCCTTTCACTGCCTCCTTGCGCCCACCTGCGTCTCCTCTCTGAAGCCCCCATCCCCCACCCTGTGCCCATCCCCCATCCCATGCCCATCCCCCACCCTGTGCCCATCCCTCATCCCATCCCTTCCCACTCCCCTCCCCTCCCCCACGCCCCCCTACTCCTCCCATCCCCCTTCCTAGCCCCATCCCCCTCCCCACTCTCATCCCCCCATCCTCTGACCCTGTGCCCACTCTCCGCTCTTCCTCTCTCCCCACCCCTCCCCACTTCCACCCAACCCAAGACCCACCCGAAGGTCTGCTCATGTGTCGCCAGCAGACGGGCCGTCTCAGTGAACCTAGTCCAACATGTGTCATACACGCTACCGTGTACATTTTTTAAGATTTTAAGCAGCATTTTTTAAAGTTTTTTTCTTTTGTTCAAGTACTCTCTGCGCCCCGCCTGGGGCGTGAACTCAGCCCAAGATCAAGGGTCTCGTGCTCCACCTACCGCACCCCTGCATCTACCTGTTCTGTAAACATCCCTGTGGGGTGTTTGAGCTTCTACTGAGCTCCCCTCCCTCTGCCTGACGGGTGGTGACTTCCGGGCCGAGCCGGGGTCCAGGGCTGGTGCTGGTACGACGGCGCACACGCTCACGGGCCCGTCATGCCCTTCCCCTCGGTGACCGCGTGTCCTTTGCCGAGCCTCCGTGCTTCCGGTGAGCTGACCTGGAGAGCACCAGCCGGCAGAAAACTGTACTTTTAATGCTCTCCCGTGGGATACGTCTGCTCCGTGGCCGGCCGGTGTGAGACAGGGCCAGGCCCGCGGAGCTGCCCGAGGCCCCTCGAGGAGAGAGTGCCCAGCTGTCACCTCGGGTTCCGTTACCTCCAGGCCGTCGCGGCGTGGACGGAACCGTGCAGGCCGCATCTGGGGTTGGGTCCTGGTTCAGCCTCCTCTGCACCCCACCCCTGGTCCGCACACCTGCTCATGCCCGCCCGTCGAAGGAAGTCTCGGGATCGACACCTTCCTGCAGGAGTCGTTCCCAGACTCGAGAACACCCACCCGAACGCGTCCAGCTCGGGCACGAGGGCTAATCGGGTTATGGGACTTTGCGGTTTGAATACGCCGTGAGGCTTCGTGGGCCTAGAGTTGGTCCGTGGACACCTCCACCTGGTCTTCCCATGGTTTGGGCAGAAGCCCCGGCGAACAGCCCTTCCCCTTCACACCCACTCATCTCCCTGCAGATAAAGAGGCCCCTGCCCCCCGGGACTGCCCCCCAAGGCCGTCTGTCTGTCCCGCAGGTTGGGGACATCGTCATGGTCAAGGAGGATGAGACCTTCCCCTGTGACTTGATCTTCCTGTCCAGCAGTCGAGGCGACGGGACCTGCCACGTGACCACCGCCAGCTTAGACGGAGAGTCCAGTCACAAGGTAGGTGCCTTTCCCGGGGCCCCGCGGGGCATCGTGTCAGCTGCGCTGTGTGGCCGGCCCCGTGTCACCATGGTGGCCAGCCCAGTGTTCCCAGGGGTCACGGAGAAACCCGGGCAGCTGGGCTGACCGCACGGCTCCCCACTCTGCTTCTCCCCATATCCCGCTGTTCCCTGTCCCCCGTCAGTATCCACAGCCATCAGCCACTCAGGTTAACTGAGGGGACTTCGTGCTCTTAGCTATGTCACTGAGCGGAGGGCCAGGATATAAGGAGTAGATGGTGGGAATTTGGAAAACTTCATTTTAATGCTCAAGATTAGTGTCTTCTCTAGACTGGAATTATGTGAAAAGGCACGCAAGAGTGGAGATTTTGAGGACTGTCACTCTAACGTGTCCTTTTGTTCAAGTATCTTAAGGATTTTCTGAACTTGTAATTAATTTCTTAGACTCAGGATGGAAGTCCGTACTGCCAGGTGATACTACACAACTGTAATTAACAATCCAAAGAAGAGAACAACCACGATTTTAAGGATTTCGTTGTATTTTTAGGGAAATGGGAGCTTCCAAGGAGTTTAGGAACATGAGTGTGGCTCAGTGGACCCAACCACGTCTGAGGCATTGGCAAATGGCAACTAATGGTGGGATTTCTGTGGTGGGAAAGAGATACTTTCTTTTATGAATAATTCAGATCATCGTATAAGCCCTGTGGGACTTCGGGACACCTTTCCTGTGTGTGCATCCCGAGAGGCGAACATTCTGGCACGACTGATTGTAAACCACGGAGACTTGGGGGTGCAGAAGCGCCTGGGAGAGTCGGGTGACTGTGGTGTCACATGTCTGAGTGTGGCAATCATGTTCCCGTGTTCCTGACACCCAGCGAACCACATGGCCCCTGGCTGTTGGCACCCAGCGGCTGCTCACGCCCGTCCTGCGGGAGGGATGCCCCAGCATGGCTCGTGGGCAGCCGCGGCAGGTCTGGTGGAACCACGGCTCCCCGGACGTGGTGGCCGTTGCCTCACCCAGAGCTGGCGGGTGCCCCGCTGCCCCGTCTATGCGACTGGGCTCAGCATCCTACTTGTGGCTGATGTCACGTCTGCACATCTGACTTGACCTGGGCGCTGGAGTTACTGACTCCTTTCCTTCACAGACCCTGGGGCTCCCGCTCCGGTCACGGTCGTGGCCCCTGTGACCTTGGGCAGGCGTTTTTAACCTTTGCAGTTTTCACATCCTGAACTGGGAGAGACCCTTCTTCCAGGGGCTCTTGGGAGGACATGCCTAGAAGATCTCCCGATGTCCCTGGTGTGCAATGGGCCCCCAGATGTTCAAGGTGTCACATGTCATTTACCTCCCATGTCCATCCACAGCGCCTTTCTCTCCCAGCATGTGATTGCTGGGAGGACGAGAGCACGTTCAGAGCCACGCTCTCCCCACGTGCCCTCGTGCCTGTGCTCCAAGCCCACCTGCTTGCATTAGTGATCCCGTCTGGGCCGGTGTATCCACTGCCCGGGTCACGTTAGAACCGCCGTCCTTGGGTCCCCAGACCCACCGCCTGGGACACAGGGAGCCAGGCCTTCAGGGCCCTGGGCAAGTGCGGAAGTATTTTCTCCCGGATGGTTGCCGGTGGCGCCTTGAGTTTTCATCACTTGCTGATGTGCGCAGACTCTGGTGTGCGTGCAGAGCACACGACTTACGTGTTCGTGGCTGCGTTCTTCCTGACACGGCACCGTGGCTCGTTCTCGGGCCTCGTGCCGGGCGCAGCAGGGGACACACGGCGTGGCCAGCGTGGGAGATCCGGCGGCCAGGCGTGCGTCCCTCGCGCGGCTGTGGATGAGACCTGCTGTTACTCTGCAGACTCACTACGCCGTGCAGGACACGAAGGGCTTTCACACCGAGGAAGACCTCGACGGCTTGCACGCCACGATCGAGTGTGAGCAGCCCCAGCCCGACCTGTACAAGTAAGTCCGGTCCGCGTCCCTGTGGTGACACTCCCGGCCCCCGGGCCGGTCCCGCGGTGCACCGCGTCCAGCCCTGCTGTCCGGCGCCGCGCTTGTCGGGCAGGAGCGTGCGTGTCGCTGCCGAAAGGTTAAGACCGAGCCAGGAGTGGACTAGTTGCGTGTGTCCCAGTCCGGCGACGTTGAACCTGTAGCTGCTCTCGTGGACACTCGTTAGGCCTGACGGGAGTAAGTTGACTGAAGAGGAGTAAGTCTCTGTGACGCGAGGAACCAACTTTAAGGAAAATCCTTGGAGTCGTGGGCGACTAAGGACAGAAGATAAATGAAGGAAGGGGGAGGAAGCCAGCGAGCTTTTGGCCAAGCACATGGCCCCGGTGGCGCGGGCTTCTGTCCCGGCGGAAGCAGACGGGGGTGGATGGTAGGCGCCCGGCCCCTTCCCGCCAGCCGCGCGCCCTGACCTGACTTCTCTGTCATCAGGTTCGTCGGCCGCATCAACGTCTACAGCGACCGGAGCGACCCGGTGGTGAGGTGAGGGGCTGTGCCGTCAGGTTGCCGTGAGCTCTTCTCTTTGCCATCGAACGCTTCACTCTCGACGCTGTGTTGCGGTGGGAAACAGAATTCTGCCTTTCCAAAGGCCCGGGTCCCGCCGTCTTCTCTGTTCTGGTGGGACTGTCGCCCTCCGTGCCAGCGGCTGACGGCGCTCTCGGGGCCGTGGTCTCATGGTGTTAGGAGCTCGTCTGACTGCAAGGTGCTACCCGAGCGGGGCCCTTGCATCTCCACAGACCAGTGTGTCTTCAACCATAAAGCTGGGCCGTTGCTGCCCTGAGGCCGTGTCTCCTCGAGATCCTTGAGGGACGCTGTTTTGGCCCCAGATTCTGTCTGGACTTAAGGGGACGGGTCTCCTCTGGGGACCGTGTAGGTGGGAGGTGTGTGTGGTCACCTGCTTCATCGGAGCAGTCTGGGATCGGTCACACCCGCGGGTTGTGGGCGAGGACCCGCACCCACCAGGTGCACAGCGCCCGGGACCTGCCGGCGGCTGGACACGTGTGTCTCTCATCGGCGCTGGCCGTCCTGTAGGGTGTCATCTGTGCATCGTGTCCGGGTCTGGTGGGTCCTGGCTGTCGAGGTAACGGAGGTGGACGGTGTAGGACGTTGGTTTGGGGTAGGATCTGGAGCCGATCTTTTCTCTAGCCCCTGCGTCTCCCATGTGGGAGAGACATTCTTCTGTCCACTTACGCGGCCTCCAGGTGGTCAGCATCCCGGTGTGACCTTGTGTGTCGAGGAGAACAGTTGCCCAGAAGTAGAAATCATCTCTGTGGGAAATCGATGGTAATCAGTGTGAGATCCCGGGGCCCCTCTTGAAACTGTGTCACAGAAATGATTTGTGCACGTCCTGAGTCACAGCCATCATCCGTCCGCATGTTCGCGGTGCCTCTGAGGGGCTGTGGTCGTCCCAAAACAGACGCTAGTCTATAGGACGCTCCTAGTGTCTGTGCAGAAACAACCCGCACTTCTGTGTCCCGTGAGAAGCACTGTTGGAAGGATCGGGATTTATTGGGATTAGAAAGGATTGGAAAGCTTGGGATTTATTCACCTTGTCGCCGGGATGGATCAGGAGTAACTCCCGGCTCCCCCTGCCTCACGTTCAGACGATGATTCACGCTGAGCACGTGGGGAGCCCGTGGCTAACGCAGCTCACGGGCTGGAGCTAATTCTTGTTTTGCTCTTTAAGGACGTACACTGTTGGGCCGACTTTTACCGTTTGGGTGTTACAGGTGCTCGTAAACTCGTGGTGTGAACGGGGGTGACTTGTATCTCCCAGTTCCTCATGCCCTCGCAGTCCTGTCCAAACTAGAAGCAGGGTACTTCTTAAAGTAAATTGTGTTTCACTTCCCAGACATGCTTTATAAAAAGGCCATTTGCTTCCATGAGACGGTCCACAGGCATCGTGAGCATGCCGCTTGTGGAGGCTGACGGTCCTCGGGGGGACCCAGCAGGGCATGTGCGGCCCTGGGAGCATCCGTGGCAGTCAGGTCCAGCACGAGGGCCGGGCCCGTGGAGCCGCCCTGGGCCAATGCGTCCGGTCAGGTGTCCCCCAGGAAACAGTCTCTTGCCCTCGTCCTCAGGGGGAGGCGGCCCCAAGCCGCGTCGTCTAACTCGACGGCGTGCCCGAGTCTGTGGCGTTCACAGGCCCCCATGCACTGTGGCACGGGAGAATCGAGAGCACACGTCCCTGTGCACTGCAGACGCAGTCCGTGCAACACTGACGGCACCAGCATCCGCGGAGCTGTGTTCTGCTTCCCGCTCTTGTCCGCTCTTGGGAAATGAGCAACGAGGAAACGGGGGGGAGCCCAGGGAACACGAAACCCCAGAGGCAGAGATGTGATCTGTTGCTCACGGCCGAGTCTTGTGCGCTTGGGGCCGGCGTGTTCTTCGTGACTGATCTTAACTTCCTTGGTTGTTTCCTGGCGAGGTAGCAGGGTCAGGGGAGCGTCCAGATTTGGGGGCCGCCTGCACGCACAGGGTCCTCGTGGGTTGGACAGCCGTGGGGGGAACGCACACGGTGTTCCTGTGTTTGAAAGTAAGACCGGATCCCGCCGACTCGTGGAGTCTCCCCAAGGATGTGGTAGAAACAGCTGAAGCCTCTCGAGTCTTCTCGGAAACGGGGCCCGTCTGTCGGTCTGCGTGGGCTGACGCGGCCCCTCCAGGGAGCGGGCCCCGCGAAGGGCCACCCACCAGGTCCTTCCGCAGAGCGGGTCTTCCCTCCCAGGGCGGAGGCCACGCTCTCCCACGGAGTCGGACCAGCTTCCGTGATCCGAGTCTAAGCTACTCCACGCTTACACGGTTTCCTCTTGAAACCAAGTCTGTCAGGCCCAGGCCTCGATTCCCACCTGGAGCACCTTCTTCTGTCCGCCCCCCGGCCCCACTCTGGTCCTCCTGTCTTTGCAGGCCCCTGGGGTCGGAGAACCTGCTTCTCAGGGGAGCCACGCTGAAGAACACTGAGAAGGTCTTCGGTGAGTGTCTGTGAGTCGCCACCAGCAGCTTCTGAAGCTCAGGGCAGTTAAATCGAGCAGGCGCAGCCTGTCGTGCTGCCATGGCGCATCCGTCCGCACCGTGCGGCGGGCTCCGTGGCAGTGGACAGCAGCCTGAGGACGCCCGTCCCCGCGCGTCGCCCCCGCCCACGCGGCCATGGTGTCGGACGGTCACTTGCGTGTTGAGCATCTGGGGTTTCTGAGTCGGAAGCACAAGTTCCCGTCCGTAGGAGAACGCCCACGCCGTCGTTATGCAGGTTTCTGCGAATGGCTGCGCTTCTCCGGCGGTCTCTCCCTGCCCTGAGCGGTGCTCTTGTTTTTTAAGGGAGGCAACTTAAAAATGTGCGCGTGTGCCCAGTTTCAGAAAACCCAACGTGGTGCAGTCTGACCTCCAGGAAAAAGCAGAGACCGATCTCTGCAGGAATGGAAAGTTCTTCTTTAGTCTGAGGATCCCGAGCAGCCCGTCTGCCTGAGAAGCGCGGTGTGGCGTGCGCGGTCCCTTCTGCTGCCGCCGTGTGCGGCTGCTCTGACGCGGACTCTCCTGCCTTTCAGGTGTTGCCATTTACACGGGCATGGAAACCAAGATGGCGCTGAATTACCAGTCGAAATCCCAGAAACGATCTGCTGTAGAGAAGTGAGTCTCGGGGCGCAGAGCCCCACGCCCCGAAACCGTCATGCGCCCCCCGAGACACGACAGCTTTCCCCTTTGGCGTTGTTAGTAATTCCGTCCTGGTCTCCAGGGCGCTGGTGGCACAGGGCATTTAGGTAGACAGTCTTGATCTGCAGGGGCACAAGTGACCCCATGCCTTCAGTCCACATCTGCAGGCCCCCTGTGTGGACGCTGAAGTCCTGGCCACTCCTCTCGCCGGTGCACGAAAATGTCAGAATTGGGTCACTTTCAGCTTTTCCCAAGGAAAGTGTGAGCAGAGCAAACAGTGCTCTTTTCCTGGAACGGTGAAATCCTGACGATAAGTCAAGTATAGAGTTAGAGTCGTGAGACCACACGGCCCAGAATTTTGTCTTCTTTGCCTTTTGTTCACGTGGGTCCCTGCCTCGGAGTGGTTATGACTATTTAATACGGAGTTTGTGGGGCCTAGGATCTCTGCGAGGACTGCGAGGGGGTCTCTGCCTACCCTCGGCAAGGTGGTCTCAACGGGACCCTGGGTCTCTCTGTCCATGGGCGGCTGTCCCGACGTGAAAACGGAGATTTGGCTCTCAGTAAGCAAGAATGCTTTGTTGCCAGCGTCTGCCCCAATGAACAGCTTCCAGAAACGGACGCTGGGAGACAAGCCTCTTCACTGAGACACTGGGCAAGGGCTCTGTGTTTTTCCAGTTCAGAGGACATCTCCCTGCCTCCTTCCCTGGTGGTGATCTCTCAATTTGTCACTCCCTGGTTGACACTTTGTGGCAGAAGACTGGACTTCCAGATGTCCTGATCTTAGACCCCCAGACCACGCAGCCCACGGCGTGGCCGTGAGCACCGCTCTCTCCTGTTTTCAGAACTTTCCTGTGGCCCCTGGAGTCACATGCCTGTGGTCACAGGAGGGACTCCCGACGACTGGGGGCTTCTGGTCTCATTCTTACCGTGCTGGCGGGTGGGGGGCTCCTCTCCATCACGGTGCTCCATGTCTTCGTGGCCCCGTTGTCCTGACGCTTGAGAAAGGCTCGTCAGCCCGCGGTCACCGGGTGTCGTTGCTGTCTTGTGTTTTAGATCCATGAACGTATTCCTCATCGTCTACCTCTGCATTCTGATCAGCAAAGCGTTGATCAACACCGTCCTCAAGTACGTGTGGCAGAGCGAGCCGTTCCGAGATGAGCCGTGGTATAACCAGAAGACCGAGTCGGAAAGACAGAGGAACCTGGTACAGAGCGCGCCCCCTTGGCAGTGATCAGACACCCCGTGGGCTGCTGTCATGAGAACGCGGCAGGCGAGCGCCTAGTCTTGACGGCCGTCTCCGTCACGGAGACCTAGAAGGCGTACCCGTCGCCTCCCTGCCGCGGGCATGGGGGCCCCCGTCTCATTTGGGTGTTTGAGGGTACGGTCTGGACAGGGGTCAGCTGCCACGGTAAACTCATGAGGGCAGCGGCGTGAGCCCCCAGCGCAGGGTCCTGTCCTCAGAGCGCGGCTGCGTTTATGAACGGCCGTGCAGCCCGGGCGGGGCTCGGGGCTGCCGGCGAGGTGGGCGCGGGGCTCACGTGGTGCTCTCAGCTCCTCAGGGCACTCACCGACTTCCTGGCCTTCATGGTTCTCTTCAACTACATCATCCCCGTGTCCATGTACGTCACGGTGGAGATGCAGAAGTTCCTGGGCTCCTACTTCATCACCTGGGACGAGGAGATGTTTGACGAGGACACGGGGGAAGGGCCTCTGGTCAACACGTCGGATTTAAACGAAGAATTAGGACAGGTCAGTACCCGCGGCACCCCCCCCCCCCTCCGATTGGCGGGCGATGGCGTCCCTCTATGTTCCGTTCCCAGGCACCCGGACCCTGTGTGATCTCGGCACAGTCTCAGGTGGCCCAGGGGAAAGGCTTCCCCTTTAAGTCATTCCCAGAGACACATCCCACGACTCCCAGAACACAGCGTGACGTAACGTTGGCCTTTCACACTTTATGTGACAGTTGACTGTTTGCTGTGTACGACTTACGCACAGTTAGTCATGCTCGCTGGTTGCTGGAAGCTCCCCGTGGCCTGGGTGAGCTCCTTCTGGGCATTAATGCTGGAAGTTTGGGGAGTCCCTGCCCTGCCGGCGCTGCATTCAGCTCTTACACCTGCTTTCCTTCCCTGAGCTCAGAGTAAGTTGTTTTCCTCGACTTAAAAACAAGTCCAGAGAGACCTCATGGCTTGGTGTGTTGCAGGCTTCAGACTCCCACCCACAGCCCCGCTGTTTGCCGGCAGTGGTGGCCGAGCTCTCGGCACTGGAACGCCTGGATCTGTACGGGGGCTGCGGCTCCACACACCCGTCCCGCCAGAGCGCCATGCTGAATTTGGCATCAGGGCCACAGTGTCTGTGGCGGTGTGTGCCGCAGCCACCACGGGGGCGGGAGGGCCACCAGGGCTGCCTGGGTGAGGGGCAGAGCCTTGCACGCCTGTCCGTGAGACCCAGACCACAGCCCCTTCTTCCTCGGGACACAGCTCTGGAAAGGCCCATCCGCTGGCCCAACCCTTCCCTGCCTTTATGTTGCAGGAAAAGCATTTGGTAAACGGTAGTTCACTCATTTTTAAAAATTAAAAAACAAAGTAAGAAATTTGGGGGAGTAGTTTTGCAAACAGGCCGTTTTAAAGATTTTGTTTGAGAGAATGAGCGCACGGCGGGTAGAGGGGCAGAGGGCGAGAATCTCTAGCAGACGCCTCGCTGAGCACGGAGCCCGACGTGGGGCCCGACCTCACAACCTTGAGGTCAGATGTTTAACCGACAGCACCACCAGGCGCCCGCCAACAGGGCCGTGTCAGGCTGTGGCCTCCAAGCTCTGCCCCCACAAGGCCCCTGAGGCCTTCTGGGAATGGACACAGAGACTCAGCTGGGGACCCACTGCCTTCACCCCACTGGGTCCTGGGTACTTGTTCCCGAGAGGTAACATGCTTACGATGAGCCCTGGTTTCCAGGCGACTGTCCCGCCGCGGCCGCGGGCTGGTCTGGTCCCAGACAGGCGCACGGAAACCCCGACTCGGCCACCTGGTACCAGAATAGCTTAGGTCTGCATGTGTCACGTCGTGTCTGTGCACGGTCCCTGCCGTGTGTTCCCACGGCGTTCCCGGAGGACAGCCCCTTCTGTAACGAGAAGCGTGGAGTGGTGCTCGGCAGAGGAATCTATCTGACAAATTACCGTGGGAAGATTGTGGACAGTGTTTCGGAGGACGGGGCCTCCAGGGGTGCCCGGGGGGCGCAGTTGGTGAAGCCTCTGCCTTCGGCTCAGGTCAGGATCTCAGGGTCCCGGGATCGCGTCCCACGTCGGGCTCCCTGCTTAGCGGGGAGTCTGCTTCTTGCTCTGCCCCTCGCTGCGCTCTTGCTCTCTCTCCCTCAAATAAATAAGTAAAATCTTTTTTTAAAAAGTAGAAGACGGCCTCCCGAGACGCTCATTGTCGCTGTCGCTTTGGGGAAGGGGTCGGTGACGGGCCACACCGCCACCTTGCTGGGGACCGTCTCACGCAGGCCGCCTTCCTGCTCCTTGCGGTCCGGAGCATGGGGAGGGGCTAGCGGCGTCCAGGCGGCAGGCGTTGGCCATGCCCTCACAGCTGGCTTGCAGAACCAGGCACGAAGGGAAAAGGCATTTTTGGCGGAGGGGCAAGACAGAAGAGAACGGTTTGCAGAGACCACGTGAGGAAGCAGACGGTGAAACACTTGGCCACGCATTACTGCGTCGCCTTCCTGCACTTTATGCCTCTCCCACGCTGCCTCCCATGTGTGTCGGGGCAGCAGGCAGGTCTCAGCCGGCGGGGACGTCCCGTGCCGTCATCTGGAATTCTGTTATTCCTGATGAACACATAACCGGAATGGATCTGAGTAGAGGGTTAACGCTGGGTATGGTTTTCCATCGGAAATCTGTTCTGCCCTTTTGCTGGGGTTCTGGCTTCTGTGTTCTCAGTGGTACTGTGGGCTGTGACCTCCCAGACCTTGCCGAGTAACTGTGGGTCCATCCTCCCCGCATCCTTGATTTTTTCACTAGAGAAGCTTTAAGACCCCCGTCCCGAGTGTGTCTTTCCGAGAGGGAACAGGGAACCCTGTCTTCTGGGGAATGGGAAGGCCTCGCGTGTCTGTCCTGCACGGCTGGGTCGGGACTGCTGCACCCGGCAGAGGCTGGAGGAGGCTGGCGAGCCGGCCACGTGCGGTCCCCCCGGCGGTGTGGGTGGCCGTCAGAAGAGGCCCCTTCCTGCAAGGAACGTGACGTCAGGAAGCAAGGCCGCACCAGGGCCTGAGTCCGCGGTGGCCCCTTCTTCGCCGAGAAGGTCGCAGCCCCGCCAGCCCACGCAGCTGCGCCGTGTGTCCGCAGGTCGAGTACGTCTTCACGGACAAAACCGGCACGCTCACGGAGAACAACATGGAGTTCAAGGAGTGCTGCATCGAGGGCCACGTGTACGTGCCACATGCCGTCTGCAACGGGCAGGTGCTCCCCGGGGCCGCCGGCATCGACATGATCGACTCCTCGCCGGGTGCCAGCACCAGGGTGGGTGGCCACGCCCCTGCACCTGTGTTCCCTGGGCGTTCCCTGCTGCGCCGCCCCAGGTCCCCGAGCACAAGGCCGACCGGCACCGCCCTATGTCCCTGGGTCCCTCGCGGCTTCCGTCGGGAATGTGGGGCGCCACCCTTTCCTGCCGTGAGTCCACAGTCATGGCTGTGCGAGAAGCCACTGTAACACAGGGAAGGCAGGCACGTGGTGGGCCGAGAGCCAAGTGGCTGTGCACACCACATGGCTGTGTTCACACGCGCGTGCACACTGAGGCTCGAGCACGTGCACACACTGAAGCACACACATGCACACACACAGACGTGCCTCCACGCATGTATTTCATAGTGACACATGTGCACTCATCCTGCACGTGGGTACACATGCCACACGTGTGTGCACACACGCATGGAGACACGTGCCTGTGCGTGGGCACACGCAGCCAAGTGCCGTGGTTCCAGACGTCCGCGTCTCGGGGAGGTTCTGTCACCCCTCCCCGTGGTCACATGGTCAGTGAGGAGACCATTCTGGAAACTTTGTGGCCGCAGAGCCCTGTGCAGGGTTCCCTGGAAACTGGGGACAGCTCGCCTTAGCGGGCGGTGCACTGGCAGCCTCTGGCGACCGAGTGCATCGTACCCCCATCCTGCCTCACAGTTTCCACATGGAAACCGCTCTCCACGGCAGAGTGTCTCAGAGGGAGCCCCATGGTCTGTGGCCCAGCGGGGTCTCGGCCACACCGCAGGGCCCCTGGGAAGGCGGTCAAGGGTCCCCCAGGGCATCCTTGTTCCCGGATGCTGCGTTCACCTCCTCTGACCTTGACCCAGTGTCCTCACCTCCCGTACTCAGAAGTGCTGGAGGACGGCGAGAAGCCACACTTCCAGTCCTCGCCTAGGCCCCAGAGATGAGACTCGCTCCTGGCTCCTGCCCCCCAGCAGTGGCACATGCCGCCTTGTCGTCCTGTCTTCAGCGTAGTCTCTGTGCATGCCAAGCCGACGGGGCGTAGATCTGTGGAGTTGTGCTGTGCTTTCACAGGAGCGAGAGGAGCTGTTTTTCCGGGCCCTGTGTCTGTGCCATACCATCCAGGTGAAGGATAATGATGACGTGGACGGACCTAGGAAGTCGCCGGACGGGGGGAAGTCCTGTGTGTACATCTCATCTTCTCCCGACGAGGTGGCCCTCGTGGAGGGCATCCAGAGGTACGTCTCTGGGCGGGTCTGGCAGGTGGGGGCTCGTCCCCGAGTGTCCGGAGGCCACTGCTGTGCCGGGAGGCTTGCTGCGGGGTGGGTGGGCCGGCGGAGCTCCCGTGCTGGTGGACAGCGTCCCTCCACACGCAGCCCACCGCCCGCGTGACCAGCCGCCATTTCTGCTGCCGGACTCTGTCACTGCTGTGCTACTTCCCCTAATTCTGTCTGGGTGTCCCCTATTCGATGCTCTGCCATCTTCCCCACGGTGACGTCCGGCCGACTGCGTCTCGGTGACGGCGGTTGGCATTCTGGCCTGACTGGTGTTTCGCAGCCTCGTCGCGGCAGCAGCGCGTCTCTGTGTCCGCTGAGTCTGTGTCAAGGCCAGCTCGCGTTCCCAGGACGGCCGCTCCGGGTTCTCATTGGGACGCGTGGCTCACGCGTGTTCGGAGTAAACCCCTGGCCGTGGGTTCTCTTCCTCGCGTCTTAAACGGTGGCTCCCCCCGACTCCTGACAAAGGTGCGAGCAGTGTTCCCCGTGCTCTGCGGCAGCCCTTCCTGGTCCGTCCTAACGCGTGTGCCGAGCGCACTGTGTCAGATGTTAGCACGGACCGTCCTGCCAGCCACGGCGCGCTCCCCCCAGAAGGCTGCCAGCTCGTGCTGCGCCGAGTGGACACCCTTCCCCACGGTCCGTGGCCCCCTTGCATCGCCGTGGCCTCGTCCCCGTCTCTGAACTCCTGGCATCCAGAAGCCACCCCTGCTGTGTCTGCACCGTGGCATCTGGCATGTGGGCAGCACTCGGGTGTGCTGGTGGAGGACGGGCTGTTACGTGGTCCCTGCTCCACGGACGCCTGCTGGCCGACTGCTGGCTCTGGAGTGCTGTCCCTCTTTGGGAAAATGAGAGGGCCGTCCCGGAGGCCGACAGTCTCTCAGGATCCTTGTAAGTGTGACGCGGCCGCGGGGCTACACAGCCCCGCTGCTCAGGAAGCCAGACGTGGCCCCTGGGGACGGGCCAGTCCCCACACCTGCCCTTGTGCTGGAGCTCGCTGGTGCTTACCAGCCCGAGGGCAGAGTCGGTCGCAGTTCTGGTGGCTCTCGGAGCGCGTCTCGAGCGGTAAATGGATGACTCGTTGCCTCCGTCTGCCCCAGTCACAGCCTCTGTCGTAGCAGAAGAGCTTCTTTCTGACGAGGAAGCTTTCCCCGACTTGAGTAACATGCAGGGGAGAAGCGTCCAAGCGAGGGATTAAGCTCTGGCCGCCTCCTGCTTGCAGGCTGGGCTTCACGTACCTGCGGCTGAAGGACGGCTACATGGAGATCTTGAACAGGGAGAACGACGTGGAGAGGTGAGCGCGGCGCACGATCGTGAGCCCGCGGTCTTGGCGGGGGCCCACGTTCCCTGTCCCGCCCCATGCTGGCCTCCCCTTCCTCTCACGGCGGCCCCGGACCGTCGCCCACGGGCCGGTCTGTCAGAGTGGAGGCTGCAGAGCGTGTGCTGGGAGCCGTCCCAGATGAGGCTCCCTGGGAGTCCCCGCGGTGTGTGGGGTCTGACCCGAGTGGCCGCGCAATGCCGGGTTCCCCGGTCGCAGGACGCCCCGCACAGGGTCCGAGCGAGGGTGCGCGGGATGCTCGTGGTTCCCGTTTTGTCTCCAGGCACCATACGTGTTCAGTGTCGGTGACCGGGTCCATCAGGGAGGGCTGGTCCCACACACGGAGGGCGCATCTCGAGCTCGACTTGGAGCTCCGCCTCCTCTACAAATAAACCTGCGATAATGGGTCCAGGCAGAAACGGGGCAGAGGACATAAGGCTTGGCGGTTGTGGCCTCAGAGACCCCTGGATTTTAACATTTCCTTAAGAGGCATCAGCTCCCGCCCTGGCAGGGTGGTGAGCCCCTGACCAGACCAGCTGCCGGTCCTCAGTGGGCCCAGTGGGCTTGTCCCCAGGGTGCTGGTGGCTGTGGGAGCTGCGCGACCACACGTGGAGGGCACAGGCTCGCCCACCTTGGGGCTCCCGGCTCCCAGCTGGGGTCTGTGGGCTGCGGGGAGTTTCTGGAGGCGTCTGTCCAGGGCGGCTGAACTGCTTTTGGTTTTTCAGGCGTCGGCAGGAATCATGGGCCGTTGATCACGACTGCACGAGCCGACCACATGTTGGTTTTGTTTTTTTAAATGGTTTTTACGAACTCCGAGGACCCCGGTGTAGCTCAGATACGGCCCGTGTGTTTAGAACTCAGGGGCGTGAGCATGTACTTTGTGTGCTGGACAGACGTCCAGGGCACCTTGGGCTGGGGGTGAGCCCACGGGAGCCTGGCCTCGGCCTCCCCTCCTCACAGCCTCCAGGGGCCCAGTGTCCGCCCCGTGGATCCCGAGGGCACGGGCAGGCGGGCAGACAGGCCACAGGACGCCCCAGGTGCTGTGCCGCGGGAAGTGCTGTACTAACCCAGATTCCGGGACTGCGAGAGCCGAAGAGGGAGTAAAAGTGATTTGTGATCTCTTTTTTAGGTTTGAACTGCTGGAAATTTTGAGTTTTGACTCAGTAAGAAGGAGAATGAGCGTGATTGTGAAATCTGTCACAGGTAGGAATGTCTTTTTCCTTCGAGTTTTCGAATTACATGTTGTGGCAGTTTTATTTTCGTGCTCACCTGTGTAGGAGCTGTAGGACCTAACCGTTTGTTCTCTCAAAACACACGAGGTGAGCAGGTCATGGGGCCCCTCGGCTTTGCAGGCACAGGTGCGGGTCACGGGGCTCCTGGGCTTTGTACCTGGCACAGGTGCAGCCCCTATGGGTCCCATGTGACTGGCAGGACGTGCAGGGTCTCCCGTCCCTCCCTGCGGCGGCCACACACGGCAGTCTGACGCCGCCCACCCGCAGCCTTCCGGGCTCTTGCCACCGCGTCCATCCTGAAGACGCTGCCAGGCCCTGAGGCGCCTGCTGTGCCCGACAGATGCTTCTCCAGAGCTGCGCACCGACCCCCTCAGCTGCCTTCCCTGATCCCTACTCGGGCCAACCCCGTGTGCCTCTTTCCACCCGGAGGCCCTCTTGCCGGTGGGACGTTTCCAGGGAGGGGCAGCGCACCAGGCACCTTGTGGGGTGCCTTCTTGCTTGCCGCAGTCAGGTGAGCTGTCCCGGCCTGGGCCGGGAGCACCCGAGGACAGAAGCCAGCTGCGTCTTGCGGGCTCCCCGCCGCGCGGCTCCGCTCAGCTGAAGGCACCCACAGTTGTGGAACGGCCTCTTAGCAGACACTGCGGGATGTCGGTCCTTCTTACTCCTTAAAGCCGGGCGCCACCAGGCTGTGTCCGTGTCTTTGGAAAGTCGCCTGGTAAGCGGGCAGATGCAGCCCACTGCCCTGAGCGCGGACAGACCTTGAGCCGGCCGAGGGAGCGGGAGGCACGTTGGGGAATTCTGGGTCAGCCAGTGTCGCTCCTCGCACGGGAGGCACAGGCGGCTGATGGCCTCAAGCAGGGCCCTGGTGACGCTGTTCTGGGGGCACCTGCCACAGCTCGCCTTACTCCTTAGGCCGCAGAGGACGGTGTGAGGTGGCCAGGGCGTGTCGTTGGGCAGAACCCTGTGACTCACTTCCTGGGGCGGCGGACGAGCCTGGGCAAGGCACGTGGCAGCTCTGGGCACGGTCCCTGCGTGGTCCCCGCACCCCTGAGCCTGGCGGCGGCATGGCACCCTGGCACAGCCCAGCCAGGGAGACTTGTGCCAAGCATCTGGGGATGTAACATGGTGTCGGTGCTGCTGGAATGTGGGGAGACAGTCTTCCGCGTGGGCCAGCAGGTCGTGGGAGAGTCCCGTAATGCTGAAGGACATGGTCTGGTGTGCGGGCACGGTAGAAGCCCCGCGGTGGCCTGGGAGGAGGGCATCGGGTGGGAACTGGATGTCACTGGTCCTTTGCCCTGTGGGTTCCCTGCGGGGACGGATGCGGATATGCCGTCTGGCCACTGAGTCGCGTCTGGGAGACGGTTCCTGGTCGCAGGCCTGACCGCACCGCAGGGAGTGAGGCAGCGTTACTCACGGAGCCCCGTCCCCTCCATGCTTCCTTGGGGGGCTGGGTGCCCTCACAGTGGACCCTCGGAGACTCCTGCCACCTTCCCGCAGGAGGGCACCGCGGAGCTCCAGGAGGAGTCATGTCACGGCAGTCAGGCGGGGCCCGGGTCCCCCTTCCACGGGGAGACGTCCGCCCGTTCCTGGGGGTCCCCTGCAGATCTGCAGGCTTCCCGGGACAGACCACACGGCATCTGAACCAACCACGGCACCAATTAACTTCAGGAGAAGTTTGAATAATGGATTAAGCAGGTTGTTCTTTGCGTAGTAACGGATCCCCAGAGGTGAGGCTCATGGTTCTGGTTTTCCAGCCTGACGGATGCGGGAGACCACGAGCCCCTGTGGCCAGTGAGAGTGCGGCTGCTTGAGGGCTGTCAGCAGCCTCAGCCACGGCTTGCTCCACGGCAGGGACACCCCGTGTGGGCACGCCTCTGCGTGGTAGCTCCGTGCTGGCTTTCAGAACTCTGGTTCTTTGCAGAATGAAATGGTTTTCACTCCGGATGTTTTTACGTCAGAGGCTGTTGTAACCAAACCCCAGGGCCAGACGTGTACCAGCTGGACCACGTGTGCCAGGGAGTGATGGGTTGACACAGTGACCTGAGCCATTACCATAAATCCTCACAGTTTTTTAGAATAGCATTGGAGAGCACATTGTGATACCTGGACTTGCCCTTCTTGCTGGAAACCGTGTCTGAGGAAGTTAGATCTGGTGTCTGGAACGGGTCCTGCCCCAGGCTGGTCTTGGGCCCAGACCGGCTGCCACTCTCCGTGGCTCGTGACCAGAATCTGGCCACAAGCCCACACCATTGGCGGGTGTGTCCTGGGGGTCGGGCGCTCTGCCCCGTGGGACGCCGTCCCACTCCGTGTGCTGGTGGCCCGGACGTTGTGACGCTGTCCTTTCTGGCCGTGGGTTGACCTCAGCCGTGGTCTAGTCTCAGGACATCTATGGGCATCCCTTTGCTGTCTGGGGTGTTTTACTCTGGGCGCCATGAGCGCATCCCGGCTGGGATCAGCGGGGCTCCAGGTGCCACGGCTGCATTCAGGCACCCTTGTCCAGATCCAATGCTCTCCGGGAGCCACGTGCAAACGCAGCTGGCTGGTGGAGGGCCACGTGGACACTCATGGCTTGCAGAGAAGGCACCCCTGCCTGCGGGCTTGTCGACCAGAGCCGGCCTCGTCCGTCTTGTTCTCTCCCCTTGGTCTCGCTGCCTTCCCCTGCTGACCTGGAAGAGAACATCGGTTTATCTCACAGGGCAGCGTGGTTCTGTGGCACAGGCTTGTGCGAAGCCGTGGGGACGTCTCCTGAGCTGTGGGGGACGCCTCACAGCACGTGTTTGTGGGTCTTGCTGGGGTGAAGGATGGTGGATCCTCGACGGCAGCATCTCATGGGGCCCCGTCCAGTGACCTTACCTGGGGGCCAGAGGGCAGTGGGGCCCGTCTTCCTCCTGGTCCTCAACGCCCGTGTGATCTGGGGCTGTGGGAAAAACGACTTCACTTTCTCCCGACTGCAGGCGGTAGTGGGTCTTGGGAAACGTCTCTGACGCTCTCAACGCGGATGTTCCTGTTTCTGTTGCTTCATAAAAGCGTAACGTGGAGAATGATCAGTTCTCCCTGCGAGTAACTAAACGTCTTGTTTCCTTCCTTCCTTAGGAGACATCTATCTCTTCTGCAAGGGAGCTGATTCATCCATATTTCCCCGGGTGATAGAAGGCAAAGTCGACCAGATCCGGGCCAGAGTAGAGCGCAACGCGGTGGTGAGATGGGGCTGGGGGCGGCTGGCAGCAGTGTCCTGCTCTGTCCGCTGAGGGACGTGCTCTGAGGCCCACCTGTGCCGTACGCGGAGTGGAACCCACTGGAAGCCCCGGGGGCGGGGGGCACTGGCGGGGTGTCTGCCTTATAAGCGCATTCGTGGTCGTTGTGTCGGGTCCTGTGGGGTCTCTGGTGACGTGCTCCGTCATCGTGAAGCCGGCGTCCTCGGCGTCTCCCCGGCGTGGTTCCCGCACATCTCTGCCCCAGGCCTCTAGCAGCGCCGTGCGGGTGGCCCGCTTGCCCGAGCTCTGGCCCCCGCCGGCAGGTGCGCCGCCGGTGCCGGGGGTTGAAGGCATCTCTGACCCTGTCCACCCGCCCCCCACCAGACCCTACGCCACAGACCGTGGCCCTGCACAGCCTCGTCCCCACTGCTGCAAACCACAGAATTTCACACGCGCATCGTTACAAACCAAGCAGGGTCTGGCCAAGGTGTTCAGCTGTGCTCTCGCTGACAGGATGAACCCCTGAGTAAGCTTGTGGTGCTCACGGGAGTGTGGGTGCCAAGCGCCCCCAGACTCAGCTCCGGGAGGCTGGAGTGCCACGGCCCTAGGGCAGCCGCTGTGCCTTCGTTCCTGGCGGCGTGGCCCGCGTGGCGGGTGTGCCTGCAGCTCTGGCTGCGGTCCCCGTGTCCCTGACCCCTGCTGGCCCAGGGAGGCTCTGCGCTGAGGCCCTGAGCCCACAGGGACGGGAAGGAGGTGCTGCTTGGCGGTGACTGAGCCCTGGCGTGGGGGGTCACGGTCAGTCAGCCTGCTGCCCAAAGGCCAGGGTCCCGTTCGCGGAACAGGACGGAGGGCTTCTGCGAAGCACCTGGACACACACGCTCGCCGCCGTCTCGGGGCACTGAGTGTTGATACCCGCTCGCCTGGTCGTCCCCGAGGGGGCAGCCCATCTGCAAGTCAGTCCAGCACCAGATCTGAAACGACGGCGACACACGGCTGGGATGCTGGCCGTGCAGGTCAGCACACCTGTCAGGCTGGGCCTGTCTGCCCTCCGCGCGGACGCTGGCACGCCCAGTCCCTGCCCGGACCCCAGGACCTCAGCCCAGGACGCTGAGAGGATGCTCCCGCCGCTCTGGGGTCTCTGTCCGCCCCCTTCTCTGGGGGACCGGGGCATCCACACCAGAGTGCATGTGTTCCCCGAGAACAGTGGCTGCGTACGCCTCAGAGATGGCGTTTCCTCACCTGCGCACGGGCAGACGGTGGTGCGGTTTCTCAGTCCGCAAGGCCCTTCTCCTGTAACCAGCTTTAAACTCTCCCCTCCAGGCTCCTTCGTGGCCTCCTTCAGAGCAGCTCCAGGGATGGTTGGCACTCTGCGGCGGAGCGAGGGCGGCCGTGCCTGGTGTATTGGGGCACGTGGGCTCACACGGTCTCCCCTCCGGCTCCAGCACGCTCACCACCGTCCGTGGCTGCTCGGTGGCCCCTGCTGGGACAGCCCTCTTGCCGCCCCAGGGCTTGTCTGGTGGGCAGCTGTGCAGAAACAGCTGCGTGTGTGCTGGGATGGAGTCACGTTTCCTTTCCCTCAAGGCGCCGGCTGTCTTCGTTCTCTCTGTCTGTGGCCGTCTTTGGTGGCCGCTTTCGGGTTTACGCCTGCTCAGGCTGCTCAGGCCTCTTGGGTCTGGGGGTCTGTGGTTTTTTAAATCAAGCTGGGGAGTTTTCAGCCACTGTGTCTTACGACATACCTACCTTACGACGCACCCACTGTCCCCACCTTTCCCGGAACCGCAGTGCCCTGTGGGGAGCATACGTGGTCATTGCGGGCCCCTGGGTCTTTTCTTTTGAAAATGTCCTCGGTTTTGTTTTCAGTACTTTCTGTCACCCTGTCTTCGTGCCTGTCCTCTAGCGAGCTGTGTCTCGTCAGCCCCAGGGTGTAGCCGGGTCCATCTCATCTCAGACGCTGGGCGCTTTCTCTCACCTGCACGTCGGGACTTAGGTTTGGGACACGTGAAGTTTGGGACGCATGAAGCACAAGGTGGCCGTTGGACCGTTTCTCCGCCAGCTCTGCCCTTGGTGCTGGGTCTGCGTCCGCCTCAGCTGGGGGTCGTGTCCTTGCCGTGGGTGATGCTCCCTGCCCCCTTGCATCCTGCTGGCCTTGGACGGACTGGCCTGAGGATGCCCGCCCGTGGGCTGCCCCGTGTTTGCGTCAGCCACGGCTCGGTTCCCGGAGCAGTTCTGTTCAGACGGCGGCTTTCTGACCTGTGACGGTCCAGGCGTCGCTCGGGTGGACCGAGTTCCTCCCCCGTCCAGAGACAAAGCCCCTGGGAACTGTGGGGTCTCCCGCCTGACTCTTGGGACGGCACCGTCCCCCTCCCTCCTGATGGTTTGTCCCCGGCCTGGGGAGCACCTCACGTGCCCACCGGTCCTCTGCAGATGCCACAGGGTCTGCCGCAGTCCCCGCTCCCGGCCCCGCTCCCGGCCCCCCCGGCCCTGCCCCCGTAGCCTGTGTGCCGCCTGTGGGCGCTCAGCATTCAGGACAGCGATGGAAATGCGACGGCGCAGAGGGGCCAGCGGTGGCTTCTCGCAGGCCGAGCCGTGTGCACGGTGTGGACCCGCCCCTGCCCCTTGTTGTTGGGAGACGTTCCGGTCGTCCCCGGCGTGAAGCTGCTGGAAATAAACTGCGTGTAACGCGTGTCCGGGTCGTGGGGACGTAAATTCTCACGTCTCCGGGGTGAGCGGCCAGGAGCGCGATGTCAGCATCTAGTGTTGTAAGAAACTCCCACCTGTCTCCTGGCATCCGCCCCGGCGGGCGCGCGTCTCCGGTCTGCAGCTGGTGCCGCACACGCAGGTGACAGCCGCGCACGCTCAGGCCGCAGCTCCGCGAGCTCTTGTGCCGTCCTCGTCCCAGGCAAAACGTCCCTGCTGTGTCTGCCCTCGTCTCTCAGGGTGGTTCGGTGCGATGTTTTTGTGTGTTTTGGGTTGAATTTTAAGAGTTCTTTGAAAGTCGAAGATGTCAACTCCTCTGCGTGTTTGTGATTCGCCAGTGTTTCTTCCACGTCCGCGGCCGCTTCCCGTCGCGGGGCCTCTGGCAGAGCCTCTGACTGTCGGTTTCTGACTCGGGGACGTGCGTCGGGCGTGTGACGCCCGAGCTGTGGTCGCCGCTAGGTGCCGAGTGCGTCTCGTGTTTGCTTCCGCGAGGTTCGCACTGCTGTGGTTTACGTTTCAGTCTGTGACCCATTTCTCGTCGTGGTCAGTATGTGGAACTAGACTCGGCCGCGCAGCCACACTCAGCACAGGATTCACCAGTGTCGATGCCAGTGTCACCCCCAACGGAAACCGAGCCCACGGAGCAAGATCTCCCCTTGCACGCCGCCAGCCCCTGCTGACCTCTGCCCTGTCCTCCGTCCCCGCGCACTTATCTGTGCTGGGTCTTTCGTGCACGTGGGCTCGTACGGTGTCTGTGCCCTCCAGGCCGCCTTCCCTCGCTCAGCATCGCGTCCTCCAGGTCCCTCCAGGCATCGCTCTCCCCGAGCCTTGTGCCTTTTATGGCGGAATAACATTCCGCCATATGGGTCTACTGGACGGGCCGCGGTTTGTCCATCCGTGTGTTGACACGCGTCCGGCGGCTGGAGAGGTGGTTGTGGGGACGCTGGTCCCGGGGTCTGTTTGGGGCCCGGCTTGCGGAACTCCATTCACGTGCCCAGGGATGGAATTGCTGGGTCACGTGGGGACTCCTGTTAGTTTGCGTCTTGACAGACCGTCAGACTGCTTCCCACAGAGGCTTGGCTGTCGCCCGTCCCTGCCAGATGCACATGAGGGCTTCAGATTCTCTGCGTCCTCGTGGATGCGCACCAGTGTCTGCTTTCGTTACAGTTCTGTGCTGGGTACGCAGTGGCGTCTCACCGTGGTGCTGCATTTCCGTCCCAGCCACGGGGGCCAAGCGTGCGTTCTTGTGCTGCTGACCATTGGAGGCTTCGCACAAGGGCCCCTTCAGACCCTTGGCCCATTTTTGAATTGGGCTGTTTTTTGTTGTTGTTGTTGGCTGCTAGGCGTTCTTTATATATTCCGGATCCTAATGCCTTGTGGGACATGTATGTGATTTGTGACTACTTTGTCCCGTTCTTTTGGCTGCGTTCTCACTCTTTTGATAGTGTCCTTCGATGCAAACACTTGTAGGGCTTAGCCCGGTCCAGTTTACCTCCTGTTCTCTGCTGCCTGTGCGTTTACTCTCGCATTTACAAAACTATTGCCAAATCCGAGGTCCTGAAGATGTTCCCGTGCTTTCCTTCGGAGTCTGCTGCTGTTCACTCGCACGTGGACGCCTGTGACCCATTCCGAGTTAGCTCTGTAAGTGCATGAGGAGGGTCCAGCCTCACTCTCCCGCAGGTGGCCGTGTGTCTTCCCAGCTCTGTTGTGGGACAGATGCGTGCCCTGTCGGTTGGTCCCGGCGCCCACGTCAGGAACCCCCGGCCGTGCACGGGAGGCTCAGTTCTGCCCCATTGTTCTCTGGCGTGTCGCCAGCAGCACGGTTCTGACAGCTGTGTCTTTCCAGGAAGTTTGGCGATCCGGGAGTGTGGGTCCTTCAACTTTGTGGTTCTTTTATGAAATTGTTGGCTGATCTCAGAACTTTGAGACGCCACAAAATGTTAGGATATGTGTAGCCCTCGGGCTGCTTCTGGGGGG